GCCAACAAAGGAAATTAATTTGAGTTAAATAGGAGGTTATTATCATGTGTTGCATCCTCTTTTGTAACTCCATGGAGAGTGAGTCAGGTTAAGAGCCAACCAGAGGGGACCAAGCTGCTACTGCTGACACTGTGTAGTGTTCCAGACACAGAAAAAAAAAAAATAAAATAAATAGGATATGAAGATATAATTCTAGGATTATCTGTTTCCCCCCAAATATGCTACTCCATACTCATTTTTAACCAAATCAAGCTGCACCTCCAGTAAATAGGAAAATACCAGTTGCCACAAACAGCTCAAATTAAATATTTATATTTCTGAAGGCTTCACTGAGACTATAATCTCATCTCTCAAGGTTCTCAATTCTTCACTTTCTTTACTGATTTCTGGAAACAAGTGGACCAGATTCCCCAAATCTCATCGTTCTGCATCATTATTTATATTTTCACCAATCTAGCATGGGTGCTGCAGATTTGAAATGGCAGCACCCCGAATCCACTCCTCTGGCACACACACAAAAGTGCACAGACACTCACACACATGAGGCTAAAGGTGGTAGAAAACCCAGGCAAAGTGAGTTTATTTGACTGCACTCGTTAGTGTTACACATTACGGGTTCAATCCTGCTCCCTTTGAAGTTGGTGGTATTACTCCCATTGAATTCATGTGCTCTGAAAAATGCCTGAGTTTTGCAAATTTATCATTTTGTCATCTATGCTTCAGGTCAAAACTATAATCCAGTGTTTTCGACTTGGTTCCGAGCCAAATTATTTTTACTAAAGGTTCAAAGAACGCATGCTTGTCCTTCAGAGAGGTGCCAATCCTCTTTACAACCGAGGAGCAGCGTGGCTGAGGATCTCAGGACGGTCTGAGGGGTGCAAACATCCTGCAGGTGACCACAGCAACCCCAGCTTCCAGGGTCTTCCCAACAACAGCACCCCTCACTTCAACTCGACAGAAAGGATGAGGCACCATCCTTTCTAAGAGCATTTCTGCAGCACATGTGATCCATACTGATTTACTGTCACTTACAGGGAATTATGACTAAAATTGCTACAAAACATCTCCCTGTGTTGTGGGTTGTTTTTGTTTGTTTTTAGGGTTTTTTGTTTGTTTGTTTTGGGTTTTTTGTTTGTTTTTTTTTTAAGAAAAATAACATTCTACTTCAAAACCTTCTGAATAAACAGCTCAACAAAAAATTTCCAATGGTATTTGTTCTGTGCCTTTGAGATGCCTTGCCATGCTACAAGAGCGAGTGCCAGTTTGGGGAATAGAGAAAATGTTTCTTTACCTTGTAAATCAAGTGTAAATGCTCTGTGTGGCCAAGATGTGATTTTTCCTACCTCACATATCCATCTCAAACCCCAGTGTCTGTGTTGGCCATTTTCATGCTGATGTATTACCAAAACATACTGTCAGCTGAGTGAAACAGAAACTGTAGCTTCTGACTCTAAAATCAAAATATTCTCCACTAAAACACTATTTCACTTTAAGGATGCTGGTGCTTAAATACATTGTTTATTCACCTTGTTACTGTCTGTCAGGCTTCCTCTGGTGCCTCTCCTTCCACTGGCTCACTTCTGGCATGGCCTAATAGAAATTTCCCTCAATGAAGAAAGAAACAAAACCTTGCTCCCTGCTTCTTTCGCCCCTCCCTGCACTGAGCCCTTTTGCATGCTCTTACCCCCCGGATAAATTTGGGCTAAATTCCATTTTAGCTCCGTGTCTGTCCCTGCCTGTTTGGTCCCATCAGTGACACCTCCTCATCTCGGGACACCGCAGCCATCCCTGTCTCCCTCCATCCCGGGCTTGTGCCTCTCCCCAGCTTGGCGATGGTTCCCCTACAGAAACCCCGATGAGCTTTGCTCCATCCAATCCCGCGTTTCGCGGGCCCCGCACGGCTGGCCTGGGGGTTTGGGCGCCGCAGGTGACACGGGAACACCTCCAGGTGCGTTTGGGATGTCTCCAGAGAGGGAGACCCCCGCCCTCCCTGGACAGCAGTTCCAGAGCTCAGTGTAAAGCTCTTCCTCCCGCTGAGGTGGAATTTCTTGTGTTTCGTGTTTATGACCATTGCTCCTCATCCTGTTTCTTCAGGCACCTTCCTGCTGGCATCCCTTGGGAATTTTTACAGGCATTGATGAGATGCCCTCGCAGCGTTCCCCGGACCAACCCTGGCTCCCTCAGCCCCCGTCATTGTCTGCCGGGCCCTCTCCAGCAGCTCCTTCTCTTTCTTGTCCAGAGGAGCCCGGAGCAGGAGTGGGGTTTTTTGGGGGGCAGGTGTTCTCATCCGCGGCGGCGCCCCGGCTGCGCGGCTCTTCGCGACATTACGGCGGGCACGGGCGGCGGCGGCACGCCAGGAATGCGCGCTCCCGCGGCGGGGCCGCGCGGCGCGGCGGCGCGCAGCGGCGGGGGCGGGATGACATCATGAGAAAGTGGCGGCCGGCCCCGGCGTCGCCGGCAGCGGGCGGGCGCCGCGGGGAGGGGAGCGCCGGGCAGGCAGGGAGAGAGAGAGCGAGGGAGGGAGCGAGCGAGGGAGGGCAGGAAGGAAGCGCTGTCGGAAGCCCCCGGGGGCGAGAGCGGCGGAAGCGGCCGCAGCGCGCATCCCGCATCCCGCATCCAAGGATGGGCGGCTCGGGAGCGGGACGGGAGCAAGGAGCGCACCCCAGGGCTCCGGTGCGGGCACGGCAGCTCAGGCAGGCAGCGGCGGGGCGGTCCCGACGGCTCGGACGGGCGGCACCGCCCCCCGGCCCGGGCAGGTGCGGGACCCCCCGGTGCCGCCGCCGGGCCGCCCCCGCTCGCCCCGGTGGCGGCTCTGGCGTTGCCGCCCGGCCCGTCCCCTTTGTGTCGGCGGGACCGGGCGAGCCCCGGCCGAGATCTGCCCGTCCCGCCCGGTAACAGCCCCGCGCCCCCATTGGCTCCCGCGCCGCCGCTTCCTGCGGCCGCGCCGCCCCGCGGGGGCTCCCCGGGCCCCGCGCCAGCCCCGCCCGCCGCCGGCACCGCCCGCCCGCCGCGCAGCCCCGCGCCCCGCCGCGCCGCTTTTATGAATGGAGCGGCGGCCGCGTGCTCCGAGGGGGGAAAGGCACCTGGGACAGCCCGCTCCGACCGGGAGGATGCCGGCGTGTGGGTGCTGGGAGAGGGACCCGTGTGCCTGGGCAGCGTGGCCCGGGACAAATGGTTGGAAGGACAGAGCTGGCACGACCCGAGGGAATGCGACCGGCTGCCCCAAGGGCTGGCCCTGCTTCCCCAAACCAGCTGCTCGCCAGGAAGGTGTTGGGGGTGCAGGGTTGTTAATTAAATAGGGTCCCCCCGGATGTGCATCGGAGACGCGTCCAATTTCGGCCTGAGAGCGCAGGGTCGTGTGTGTTTCTTCCTTTAATATTAAAACCTTCCTGGCCAACTAAAGTTGTTGAAACAGAAGTGCACGTCCTGTGCGTGAAGCACAATAGACAGGCGGAGGGACAGGGGACAGCTTCCTCGCTGAGGGACCCTCCAGAGATGCCCGACGGGTGCAGCGTGCAAGGGGAACTGAGAGCACGGGGCCTCCGACATCCTCCTCCTCCTCCTGACAGCCAGAGACAAAATGGAGACAAATGGTCAAGCAAACGAGTAAACGAGAAAAGATGGGCAGACAGTGCATGCAAAGAGATTACATAAACACACAACTGTGCAACAACATGCCCTGTGATCTTTGGCACTGCTCTCCCCGAGGGTCACGCAGGAGAGATGCTGTATCCTCCATGGCCAGCAGCCCCTGCCACCAGCTGGAGTTTCTGCCATTGGTGCTGTAGCACTGGCAGGTATTCCAGATACCCCTGCAGCACCCGGGTGATGCTAAAGCACCGAGGCTAATCTGTGCACCCCAATTTACGGCCTCCCCGCTTCTCCCTATGCTGCTTTGGTCAGGACAAGTCTCTTCTCCCATGCATCAGCCTCGCCTCCAGTGTTCCCCAGCGGGCCTCAAGCTGTGCTGTCAGCCCCTCGGAAAGCGAGACTTTAGGAGATGCCCTTTTTTAACAGAAACAGCGCGAAGCAGAGCGCTCTCAGGTACAGGGAGTTATTTACAGCAGGGCCCCATCACGCGTGGACAGAATGTCCTGGAGACGCAGATGAGGCCCCTGCAGGCTCCGGCGGCTGCCGGCGCCTCCCTCCCACCCTGCCAGCTCGTCTCCCCAAGGGTGCTGGAGGGAGCCCTGGCCACCATTTTGCTGCTCCGCTGGGATATTTTTCCTGGGTGTTGGTGAGTGGTGGGGGTGGGGTGCCGAGCGTGGCCTTCCCCGGTGTGCGCTGCCACCGGCTGCGCCTCGGATTAGCTCTCGCCCTGTCCCCTGCCACCTCTGTGCCCCTCTGGGAAGGTGAAACCTTTAAAGTGAAAGGAAAGGCCTTAAAAAAAATAAAAATTAGAAAAAGAACCATCTCGGCAGAGGGGTGGACACCCCAATTGTTTAAAAATTTTGGTGTGCAGCAAAACCATGCTGGCTGGGAAAAAACACGAGTGAGGAAACTGGAGAAAGGTTTTCCCTGGGGATCAGCTACAAAGGGTAGGCGTTCAGGTTGGGAGCGTGCCTTTTTAAAGGACAGTATGGCAGGTACGTGCCGGTGACAGCACTAACAATAATAATAATAATAATAATAATAATAATAATAATAATAATAATAATAATAATAATAATAATAATAATAATAATATTGGTAGCAAACAGCAAGGCACTGTTGCTCCGCTCCCCTCCCTGGCGCCCCCGTAAAATAATACTAAGTCTCCTTGCATTTCTCTCCCTGGTGTCTGTGTGTGGCCTTAGCCCCATTCATCATTTGGCTCCCAGTGCAGAACTCGCTCCATTTTTAAAATTATGCATGATCCACTGAAGAGACAATTTGGGTTTCCCCCACCTCTCCCTTGCCCTTGAAGAAAGCGAGCCCTTGTCTCATTTGCATTAAAACCCTGCTCTCTATAAGCTAAGCAAAGGGGAAGGACTTGAAGCCTATGGGATGGCTTTAGGGCTCTGCCCCTTGCTTTTGGCTCTCTCTCTCTCTTTCTCATTCTCTCTCGTGCTTTGATCTCTGCTTAACAACAGTAACGTCACAGGGACTACACCAGGAGAGTTTTGTTGGAAGTTAGAAAGTTTTGCAGCCTCCAGAGGGCTGTAGCGGCAGTAGCAGAAGCAGCATCCAAGGGACTCCTGGAAGGGGAAGAGAGAGAGCGAGCGAGCGACTGACTCAGTCCTGCTGCAGAGAACTGACTCGAGGCGACGAAGGCAGACATGGAACATCAGCTGCTGTGCTGCGAGGTGGAGACCATCCGACGAGCCTACCTGGATGCCAACCTCCTCAATGACAGGGTGCTGCAGACAATGCTGAAGGCGGAGGAGACCTGCTCGCCCTCCGTCTCCTACTTCAAGTGCGTGCAGAAAGAAATCTTGCCATATATGAGGAAAATAGTTGCCACTTGGATGCTGGAGGTTTGTATCTTTCGGGGACTCCTTCTTGCAAGCTGCGGCACCGAAACGAATTAATGCGGGGAGCTGCTGCCCCATCTCCTGCCCCCCCCTCCCCTTCCCCCGGGATCGCTTCCCCGGCGCGGCACACGTTGCCTGCCCTCGGAGACGCCCGCGTGGAGCGAGGGGAAGCGGCCCGAGGTGGCGGTGGCCGCCGCCGCTGTCGCCGGCTCCGTGTCCCCGCAGCCGCAGCCGGGTCCCGGCGCCGAGGGGCGGCGGACGAGCCCCCCCCACTCCCAACCTCGCCCCCGCCCGGTGCCCCCGGGGGTCGGGGGGTGCCTGGCACCTTTTCCGGCCGTCGGGGCGAGGCGGTGCCGGCGCGGGGAGCCGGGGCAGAGCCGGCTCGGGGCTCCCCCGGCCCGGCGGGGAGCGGCCCCGGCCCGGCCGCCGAACCCCCGGCCGCGCGGGGCCGCCGCCAGCCCCTGCCAGCTCGTGTTTTCTGGGGATTTTATTTTAAATTAATATCCTTGTACACGTATGCAAGCGGCTGCCCGTGCCAGTATTATGCGCCATCTTTGTTCTTTTATTTGCAAAGCAAAAGTGTTTATTAATCGGGAGAAAAACGAAGAAAGTCCCGGGGAGCAAAGCCAAGGGTGTGTGTGTGTGGCGGGGGGGAGCGGGGGAAGGGGCCGGGGGAGGAAGGTCGGGGGCCGGGGGACCCCGCTGGGGCTGCGGGCAGGGGGACCGGCCGGAGGGGCTCCGGCGTTTCTGGGGGGAGTTGCAGGGTGAAAGTTTCTTTGTTCAGCGCGAAGAGAGGCTGGAGCTGCGGTCACCCCTCAAAGGCACGCTTGTGCTGCGGCGGCGAGCGGCAAGGTTGCCTGGGAAAAGCCAGTTGGAAAGGGCCTCGTCCCTGGCGGGACACGTCTGGGGGGGCTCCCAGCGGGAGCCCCAGGAACTGGGCTACATTTTCATGCCTTTTCGGAAGCCCTGGGTGCCCGCGATGTATTTTTAATTAATTTTTGAAACCGCAGCGCCCTGCCTTGCTTTGGGAAATGTCGCGCCCGGCTGTGCTGCAGGGCGAGAGAGGGAGGCGGTGAATTTCACTTCGGGGGATCCCCCTGGAGCCCCCCAGCAGGACCAGAGGCACGGGGTTCGGTAAAGGACCCCCGCCGCTTCATTTTCAGCCTTTTTTGAGGGCTCGAATAATTTTTTAAATATTTTTAAATATTTTTTGAAAAGATGACGTCTGGCGAAATGAGGCTGGACGCCACCTTTGTGTCTCGACCAGAGAGGGGAATCGGCAGCACAACGGCAAATTAGATGAGAAAATAAAAGCGAAATAAATAAATCCGGGGCCGATCCCGGCTCTGTACCCCGTTACCACTCACGGGGGTTCGCATTTTCCTCCGCTTTCCGTTTTCTTCCCTTTTAAAAAATTTGTTCTTAGGGGCTGGAAAACTGGGCACAGACCTCTTCTTCGATTACCCCCCTCCCCTTTTGCCATGAATCGCCTGCGGGTTTCTAACGCAACATTTCCCCCCACTTTGTCACTCGTGACTTTCATTTTCTTTGATGCCGCTGCGTTTCCCATATTTATCCATTTTCCCCAACTGCGTTTTCCCCTCGTCTACTTCAACCTTGCCCTGCAAAGCCTGGGGGTGAGGGAGGAGGGAGGGCGAGAGCAGCGGGACAAGCCTGGCTTTCGCCTCAATTAAATTATTCTTCAACGATCTCTCTCCTTCTTGCAGGTTTGCGAGGAGCAGAAGTGCGAAGAGGAAGTTTTCCCCTTGGCTATGAATTATTTGGACAGATTTTTGTCGTTTGAACCCCTCAAGAAAAGCCGATTGCAATTGCTGGGAGCTACCTGCATGTTTGTGGCTTCAAAAATGAAGGAAACTATTCCTCTGACCGCAGAAAAACTGTGCATTTATACAGATAACTCCATTAGACCCGACGAATTACTGGTAATTTCACGTTCCTGTCGCTTCAAGAATAAAAAAAAACAAACAAAATCGAAACAAACATTAATATATATATATATATATATAAAATACATGAAAAAAAAAAAGAGAAAACAGAAGAACACCCCGCACGTTGGGAAGCGCTGGCCGCGACTGCGGGTCTGCTGGCGGCGGGCGGGAGCTGTGGATGCGGCGGCGGGCTGGGATAGGGCCGGGATGGGGCCGGGATGGGGCCGGGATGGGATGGGGATGGGGAGCGGGACCCCCCCGCGCTGGGCGGCGCTGGGCGGCCCGCGGGCTCCCCCTGCCGGCCCCGGCGGGCGCTGCCCCGGCGCGGGGGGACCCCCGCACCCCGCCCCGACCCCGGGACAGCGCTGAGTCCCCCCGGCACCGTGTGCGAGCGGCTCTAACCACGCTCCCCCCCCTCTCCCTCTTCTTCCTCTTCTCTCCTTCCCCCTTCCCCTCCCTCTTCTCTTTGCAGCAAATGGAGCTGCTGCTGGTGAATAAGCTGAAATGGAATCTGGCTGCAATGACCCCCCACGATTTCATTGAACATTTCCTTACTAAAATGCCTCTGGCAGAGGACACCAAGCAGATCATCCGTAAACATGCTCAGACTTTTGTGGCTCTGTGCGCTACAGGTATGAGCCCTGCACGTTGCGCAAAGCGCGTTGCTCCCCGACACGCGCCCGCCCCCCGGCTTGTAAAGCTTCCCGTAGCTGTTGGTCTCAGGCGCGCTCGCAGAGCTGCGGGGAGGTAGTTTAAGCCCCGATTATTGCCCCTTGTTTGCAGAAGGTGGATTACTTTGCCAGAGGTAAGTTTTTCTTTTCAGAAGATATTTCGCTTCTGAGTCGGAGTTTTGTGTGGTTGTCAGGGAGGGAGAGGGACCACCTCCCCCCCGCCCCGCTCTCTGTAGCTCAGCGTGGCACGATTTCCTCGCCTCCCCAGCCCGGGTTTATGTGGGGGCTGCAAAAGGCTTACTGCCCGTGTGGGGAATCCCTCCCCGTGTGGATCCATTCTTTAGGACGAGTTTTTAAAGGCGGAGGGAGATTTTTTTTTTTTTTTCTCCCCCTGTGAATAGCACCGCGTGTGGGGGGTTTTAAACCCTTCCCTCTTCAAGTTGCCTCTTCCCCCCCTTCCTCGGTGGCTGGTGGACTGGAGGAGGGCCACGCGGCACGGAGGCTTTTCCTGGCACGGGACCGAGCCGCTGCCATCCGCACCCTCTGACCACGTGCTGAGCTGGAGCCGTGAGCGGGGCCGGCCTCCAAAGACGCCCAAGAGTCGTGGTAGCCACGCTCCGAAACCCCTGTAACGCCGTCCGGCTTGTCTTCCAGAGGTTGGATTTGGTGTAAAAAAAAAAAAAAAAAAAAAAAAAGGTTGAAGGAAGATGGCAGGCGCTCAGAAAGGAAAAAAAAAAAAAAAAAGTCCTGTTTCACAGAAATGGCCCCGCTGCAAGGCCTAAAGATAGAACAACCAAGCCATAAAAGAGAAGTTTATAAACACTGGCGTTGCTCTTCATCTTGGGCCTAACCTCAGCGTGAGGGGCAGCTCGTAGGTGAGGTTGCCTGGAGTAATGCTCGGTGCTGGGAGCGCCACAACCTTCAAACCACCGGCAGCATTTTGGGAAAGTCCAGTGTGCCCCTCCGTGCCAGGTTCTACCAGATACGAGGCTGCTGCAAGTCTGGAGGTGTGATTTGCTAAAGAGAACGGCCACCCGGGCTCCCCTTTGGATGTGGGGATGTTTAACCTAGGTTGTTGTGTTGGCAATGACAGGGATGAAAGCAAGAGTAGTTCAAAGGTTGGAGACTTGCTAAGAGTCCAGTACTTTGATCTACTGTCGGTGTTGTTATGTTTCTTTTAGGAAGCACATCCAGAGCCTTTATTTAACGCTGCTACACACCACAGCTGGAGAATGGATCAGTAAATGAGAACCATGTTCTGGGAGTTTTACTGAGCTTTTAAAAAAAACCAGCGCTGAGCTCACCAGAGTTGGGGCCCTCTTCAGCTCCCTACTGAAGTTGGGAATATTGCCTGGGGACGGAGCGCTCAGGAAGGCTGCCACTAGGCTCTGTGTTTTTATTGTTATTTTTGGATGCCAGGGGTTTTCTCTACCTTTTGCTTTTCTCATGACTTCTTTGTTGGCTAGTGAAGATCACATGTGGCTTAAGCAGCATCTGGACTTTGCTTTGCTGTTGCTGGGTTGTACTGCGTTTTCCCTTGCCAAAACGAACCTAGATGGACTGCAAATGCCTTGTGCTGCCTGGATGCTGTGGGGCCTGATCCAAAGTCCACTGGAAACACTGACAGCTCGCTTAAGTGGCCTCAGGGGCAAGTGCAGTCTCTCCTTTGCCTGCGTCCTCTTCTGTAAAGGAGGTTCTCCTAAGAAGAGACTGCAAAATAATGCTTGCTTAGAAAACAAACCCTTGGCCAGTTGGCTTACCAAGGTGAAGGCTGTGGAAGTGTTTGTAGATGAGTGTGTATGTGTTTGCTCCAGAAAAAGAAGGTTACGCTGCAAGGTGAAGTTGAGGGGAATTCCTCCTAAGCTCCCTCTCCAGTTGTCTGGCTAGTAGAAGAAGTGGGTTTGTTTGATTTGGTTTGGTTTTGAAAAATCCATTTTCACCAAAGGATGCCTTTGTGCTGTGGTAGGTTCAGGAGAAAAAGCGAAAAAGAAAAAAAAAAAATTACCAGGGGTTGTTTGAAGTTAACACATAATTGAGCTTAATGAATGGGGCTTTGGCATGGCCGAGCAAGGCAGGGAGAGCTCAAAAGGAAGCAGGCCTCTTTTGGCCCAAGTTAAGACCGGTGTTGAGGGAGAACTGCAGCTCTATACAAGCATAACAATGAATAGCAACAAATATTGGAGCTTCAGCATTTCATTATGTTCCTCTGGTTATCAAAACATACCAGGCTCCTTTTTATTATCTATTATTATTACTATTATCGCTGTTAATATTGTTGTTGCTTTGGTCCTCTCCGAAGGAGAAAGAAAGATCCCCCTTTGAAACGAGCGTGTTACAATTCTCCCATTCTCCGGCCTTTATAAAATTGGAAGTCTCAAGGTATGTGACCAGTTGGAACCTGTTGCATCTTGCAGCAAGTGATTTATGTTCACAGTTTTGATTTGCCTCAATGAAAAGATTTTCATTCATAGCCCCCAGCTCTCCAGACGGATGGAATTGCTGCTCCATTTAAAAAGGAAAAGGGGTGACTCGCCTTGTTAGGAATTTTTTTTAAAGCGCTGCAGCGCCTATATGCCTGCTTTGTCCTCCCTTCAGGGTGGCTGGCATTCTTCTCTCTCCTCCCCCTCCTCTCTCTCTCCCTCTCTCTCTTTTTAACAACGCTGAAGTTGTTTATTCTTTTTGGATGAAGTCTCAGATAGGCTACTGGGGATGTGTGCTTCAATTGATGGGGCCCCCTACCCCATTGTGGCTGTGTCAGGTCTAATTCATCTCACCGAAGCCCCCTTGTTCCTGAGCGCTCAATAGCGCAAGATGAGGCGATGGAGGCTGACAATGATGCCACACTCTTCACTTGGGGGCATCCAATTACAGGCGAGAGGGGCCCCCTGATTAATATGCTGAAATTAGTGGCCTCTGCCACAAATAATTCCTTGTTGAGTTGCAACAAAAAGGCAGTCCATGCTGCTTGTCTGGAGTGGTTATAGGGACAGACACAAACTGGTCATTTAAACTTCATTATCACTTTTCCACCTTGGAAAGAATGAGGGTGTGACTATGAATTCATGTTCTTGTTTACTGCTCTATTTAAAAGAAGAACGCAAATATTAATCCCAAACGTGATCCTGTCAGGACTGGCTCATTAAAGTGACACATTTTGGTCATGTCCTGTTTGTGGAGCTCTGTAAACAGTGTCGGGAAGGCACTGCCACCCTACCCCTCTAAGCAACCCCATCCTGGTGGGATCCATGCTGGAAATCCCCTGTTTCCCATGTCCACCTGCAGCTCTGTGTCAGTATTTCAGTTCAGGACTGGCTTTGGAATGGGTACAGTGCCAATAAGCAGTCTGGACTGCTGCATTATTTTTTGGGGAATGACAGCAGCTTGCTGGAAGGTGGGTGTGTGTATATCCGCCTGGAAACGGGCAGCTTAGGAAAAAGGGGCAAACCAAATTTATTTTGATGTGTTTATTTTAAGATAAACGAGATGACTTGATCTGGACTTTGCCTTTTCACTGGCAGTGCATCCTCAAAGCTCGGCCAGAATTTCTTGTATCAGTTGAATTTTGGAGGTTTGCAGGATGCTGGGCAAAATGCCCCTTTGAAGGTGGGTGTTGGTCAGGGGCACAGTGGAGTGTCAGAAGTGTCTGAATAAACAGATTCAGAGCCAGGACTTCCACCAAGTCCTGAAGTTTAGTTCCACTGGTAAAACATTTACACAAAAGTTATTTTATCATAATAAAGGAGATGCATTATTTAATACTTAAACTGTTCCACTGAGCCCTCTAAGCTGTCCATTCCTTTGATTTCATTCAGGGGTTTGACAGATGGTTTATATTTTTCCAACGCAGAGGAAGTTGTATTCTGATAAAGGCTGAAGGAATGTATCTCAGGTTCTGGTGTACATTTCTGGTTTCCCTTTCTCTCCCACAAAACTGGACCTTGACTTGTGCCACTTGCTTCCTTTGTTCCTGATTCTCCTCCAAGGTGTTCGCTGCCACAGATCAAATGCATTCCTGTTCAGTAGAAAAGAGTCTTATTAGTGACTATTATTATTAAAAAAAAATTAGAAAAACTCAAACCAAACCAAACAAACCCAAAGGAAAAACATGCTAAATGGCAGAGATAGCCCCTTAAGGGATCCTGGGAGTGGCTTTGTGGAGAGACCTACAGCAATGCAGTCTGGAAGGGGGCCCAGCCTCTTGTCAGCATGGTGTCACATCAGAATGTAACTGATTGTCCGCCAATTCTTGGGACCCCCGTCACTTAGTTATGCCACATTTACATTAAATCCCTGTTGCCAGGATGGATGGCAGCCACTGACAAGAGACTCGGTTGAGACAAAGCATTTTTAAGATGAAACCTTAATTTAAATATGGATTATCTGCCTCCTGACAGGGTTAAGCAGTCTTTCTCTTTTCTTTCTTTTTGTTGATGTTGTTGTTCATTAAAGCAATATTCCTTTGAGTGTCAGAGCAAAGGTTTCTGCTTTAAAGGGCCCCGGGACTCACTGTTAGAATGCACCTTGGATCTGACCATGCAAAACACTGCAGGATGTGAACAGGTTTTCTCAGATGTGCAGTGCCATTGAGCCCCGTGGCATTATTCACAGGAGCAAAGTATTTTAACACTGGAAGAATGGGGGCCCTGCTTATGATAAAAGTACCTTGAAGTGATGAATGGCCTCCCAGGCCCAGTGCTAGGAAGGGCCACTCTCTGCAGAGCAGTTGCTCGTGTGGATAAGTGTTTGCAGGTTGGGACCTGTAAGAGTTTTAGAGCAGGAGGCACCTTTCTGCTCACCATTTTCCCTGCCTTTTCGGATGCAATAGTTGGCAGCTGAAAGCCATGCTGGTACAAAGACTGTATGTGTATGGACAGGCTTCTCCTAAAGCAATCATTTCAGTCTTCTTTTTTTTTTCTTTTTTTTTTTTTTCTCTCCTTTCTTCATGCAGATATTAAATTTATTTCAAACCCACCCTCCATGATCGCAGCTGGCAGCGTGGTAGCAGCTGTGCAAGGCCTGCATCTGGGGAACACTAACACTTTCCTCTCCTATCAATGCCTCACACATTTCCTATCACAAGTTATCAAATGTGATCCGGTAAGTGACTCCTTCTCTCGGTTGATCTCCTGCATTAAGGGTTTTTAAGAATGAATGCCTGCTTACTGCACGGGAGCTAATCTGACAGTAAATCTTGGGAAAGGTCAAGCCTCAGAGTGGGGGTTCTCAATGTGTTCTCTTGTGCCCAGCCTGCTTGTTTGGCTGTCATGATGCCCACTGATAATCTGTGATGCTGCTGCTGCAGTTCCTGGATGGGAATGGCACATCCAGCTCTGCTGTTTGGGAGAGGAGGAAGCCCTGCACCGACTTAGGACGTGGCAGAGGCTGTGTTTGACTGGGGGTCATTAAACCAGGATCCCCTGTAAAACAAAACTTGGGGAATAAGACCAGGAAACAGTTACTGAGACCTTGTGGTATCTCTGACCCTATCTTTGACCATTCTTTTATTGTGCCAAGTGGTGTGAAAAAGCTCTTCTTAAGAGAGTTCTAATGATCTAATTTGGTTTATTACTGCTGGACAGTAGCTGGTATTGAATTCCTTTTTGGAACAAATGCTTGTCCCACGACTTTCTGACAAGGTAGATGGTCCTCAGAGGACTCTTCATTTTGCCCTGCAGCTTCCAGGAGATGCACATCAGTAATAGTGAGCAATAAACCTTTCATGAGTGAATGGGCCAGGAAGGGAGCCTACAAGGAAGACCTAAAGTCAATGATCCATGTCATAATGGTGTGTGAAGTTGGGGCAGAGTTGAGCTTTGTTTTGTAACAATGTGGAAGACCAATAAATAGATGCTTTAAAAAGGTTCTTGTGAGGTCTCCAAGCGCTGGACAATGAGTCAAATAAAGACAACTCTGTGGTTAGGGGCAGAATCTTGGAGATGCTGTTAAATTCTTTTACACGTTAATAATTTTAATTAATAGAAAACTGTCCCAGTCCAGCCACTGCAAAACTGGGTTTGTGTGATTGGACTTTGTAGACAGGATTGAGCAATTAATTATTCGCAAAATAATATTTTACTTTTGATAGACTGTGTGAAACAATTGCTGAAAAATGCAGTATCTCAGTTGTTATTTTGATCACCTGAACAGTACCTCAGTATTGAGCATGTTATTTTTGCCACTTATATCGCTGCAGCTGAGGTAATACAGTGTGGAAGTGTTAAATACTCTAAGAACCTGAAATGCTGAATACTCTTTAAGAAATGCTGAAATAATGGGCTGCTCAGTTTGGTATGCACGTGTGATGCTTTTAGTCAGTTTGTGAACAATGCAGATAATTCCAGTGTGTGGTTGGCCACTGTCCAGGGTGAGATGTTTGAAGCAGGTACCAAGGGAAAATACTTGCTATGTGTTCAGGCAGCATCTTGATTCAAACAAGATGATTTAACCATTCCTGGTACTGGGCACTGAAGTGGAATCTCTCACATCGTGCAGAACAACAGCCTGTCCTTATTTGACTTGACTTAGTTGATGACAGAGCTCTTGAAAAAGAAAACAAAATGGCTTTAGCAAGAAGGAGGATTTTTGATTTCATTTTAATTGTCCTGAGTCATTGCAAGGCCACAATCTGTTTGACCTGGGCTTTGTTAAAAGCTTGAAAAGGGAGTAACTCGCTTCCAGTGCTAAATATATTCACCTGTTAGGTAGAAATAAGGATTTTGTGTGGATTGCTACAGAAAATAAGCATCACAAAGTTCTGTGTATGTGCAGGTATATCGTTGTGTTTGGAGTGGAATAAGGGAACAGCAACTTCCACTGCAGTTGTTCTGAGAGGAATCTGCTTGGTTTCATACAGAGCATGATTCCCCTTCAGGGAGACTTTCCCAAAATACCTGTCTACATAACCCATGGTACCAAATGCCATTCCTGCCCATCCCATTTCACTAGGATTTGTATGAAGTGTGTTATACCCCAGTGGTGGTTCCTCTTTTCAGGAAACATGTTTTATATTGGATAGTCTTGGAATGTTAAGAGCAGGGCTGGTGTTCCCTCTGATGATCTGTTAGCTGGAGCAGCAGGTCTGTTGGATTTCAGGTTACATAATTATATTTTTTTACCTTTAGTCCCAAAGAAAGCTGAATCTAAAGTAAAATGAATATCACCTGATTGGAATTCCTTTATGGTTCATGTTTATATGTTGGTAGAAGTCCAATTTCCCATTTTGCCTTTGATCAGGGGTAATTAGAAGTCAGATAATCACAATTAGAAGTCTCGGGCTGTCTTCCATCATTCTGTGCTTGACCCCATCATCCAAACAGATGGAATTTTACCTGACATTCATTTCCAGGCCAGAAATTTGCTAAACTAGATTAGATTGGGTCTCCATGCTGTCTGTTAGTGCATTGGAATTCGCCTCCTGCCTGCCCCTTCTCAGAGGCACCTTCAAACATGTGCTTGTCATCCAGAACGGGTCAGGCAGGAACAAAGGATTTCCATGCAGTTCCTTTTTTGTTGTTGTTTGTTTCCTTTCCTATCTGACCCTGGAGTCTGATCATGTCCACTGTGTCTTAAAGGTATTTGACCACATCAGTTAAGCTAGCAAGTCTTTTTTTTTTTTTTTTTTTTCTTTTTTTCACTGAGGAGCTTAATTAATCCAGGAAGGGTTTATGACCTTGAACAAACTGTGGGCATTGAAAATTTGGGTAGTGAAGCAGAAAAGTTGTTGGGAGAAGTTATCAGAGTGCAATGCACAAGTTTTGTATTTGCTTTTCAGTGTTGGGAAGTATTGAGAATGAAAACAGCTTTGGTGAGGTTTTTCACCGTGAATTTTATGTTTTGCAGTTGTTTTTTGCTAGCTCTAATGCATTCCTACAGGCAAACTATTTATTTAATAGTCATGTGAATAAGACATGGACAAAATGCCTAAAAGAGTGAAAAACCTTTTCATTCATCTGTAGCTTAAGACAGTTTGTTCATAATAAATTGTAAAGATTGTTTTTTAAAACAGCATGCTGCACTCTGAGAATTTTAAATGAAAAAAAATCTGTGGCCAAAAAGTACCTTTGAATTACATAGTCCTATGTAATTATTCATAACTGGACTCCAGAGGGAGAATAATAGGTATTTATAGAAATTCTTTTGAATGGTTTTAGTTTTCAGAGCTCAAACACGCTCTATGCAAATGGTCAGGACTAAAATAACCCATGAAGTTCCCATCAAAACTCAGCAAAAAAATCCACTCCCACCTGAAAAAAAAAAAAACCCAAAACAAAACCCAAGAGGATTCATTTTGCTCCAAAAAAAAAAAAAATGCTTTCAGTTTGGAGCACTGAACGTGCTAAAAGGGAATTATGGTGAGAAGTGGCTTTGTGAAGCCAGGGACACCTAAAGCTGTGCTGGTGTGCTCCTCTGCAATGGGTCTGACCCCAGGGGCGAGCGAGGTTCGTGGTACAAGGGGGAGCCTTACAGTCACGATTGATCCGTCATATCTGCAGGAGGGCTGGGTGCAGGCACTTCATAGAGACCTTATTGTGGAGGCCAGAGGTATGCAGGAGCCAGAGGCATGATGACTTTAGGATATGAGGCGTTTCTTTTTGTCATTTAAAACGCTGTGTGTCTCTGTCAAGAGGAAATATTACACTAGGGTTTAAACCAGGAAAGGTCATAGGTTATGTGTTTTCAGTGAGCTGTAACTGATGGTCTGATCTGCTTAGAGGTAGGATTAACCTCCCTCTCTCTCAGAAAGGACTTGCAGAGAATTGTTTGCTTGGGTTTCTAATCTTATTTTACCCCAAATGCCATGTGCCCTTATTGGTGGCAGAGGAGATTCTTGTGGTAGTGGAATCAGTGAAAAGCTGGTAGATCACACAAGAAGCCTCTGAATGAAGGCAGAATTGAAACTGGGAAATAAAGAAAACAGCAGGCAGGTCACCCTCTCAGGAAAACAACATTCATTCTCAGTCATGCACATCCTAACACTTTTGACGGCAATTTATCATGGAAGACTGGGTTCACCGCAAGGGCTAACACATGTCATAGGTTAAATCAGAAAAGGCAATGCTGAAAGGAAACTTCAAAGTCCTTAATACACAGAGTTAAAAATGTTGGGGGGGAAAAGCTTATGATGTTTGTTATGAAGATAAGGGTAAACAGCATGCTGGATGAGTTTTGGCAGAATGCTGTGGGACTGTTTGGCCTATTTAAGGCACCATTTCTGTGTCACTGCAGTGGGTGCACACGCCTCCACAACCTGCAGGAAGTTGTGCAGGTTGAGCTCAAAGGCCTTCTCCAGTTCTGGTTGCTGGGAATCTGATATATCTCCTCATGGTGTGGCATAATGCCTGGGGGAAGTCACCTTTGCCCACCACAGACAGGATCTTTCTTATTACTTCATGGTTTTTTAATTGCCAGCAAAGCCTGTGCAGCTTCCTGAACCATCAGGAGGATTGTGTGCACATCCAGCTTGGAGAAAACACTTTGGATGTGAGAGGAAAAGGTCTCACCCTGACTGAGATTTCCAGGTGGATGTGGTAGCACACAGAAAGCTTGGATGGACTTGGTGGTGCATGTTTAGGGAGGTGCTTTGTGGTGCTTCTGAGAGACCTCCACGTTTTGGGATTGTACAGTCCAGTCCCTCTCTGGAGATGTTTCAGAGTTAGGAATTTATCAGCTGCCCACAGCTGTACATTGCAGCAGCAGGCAGGCAGCTTTGGGCATGGGCATCTAAACATATATATGGCACTTCTAAGAACTTCCTATCATTGGAATTTAGCCTGGGAGGAAAAGTCACTGTTGGTGAGCATTGCTTCTAGCAGACTCTACTGATTCCTGGGGAAAAAGTAGAAATCACATGGGCTTGTACAGAACTGTAAACAGCACAGGCAGGGAAGCAGCAGTGCAAGGTATAATGTGCAAAAAAAAAAAAAAAGGGATTCCTTATCCACACTGTTGGGTGCTGTGGCTCTTCCCACCCTCCTTTCCAGCCTGCTGCTCTCCCAGATAACCTGGTAACATTTCTCTTGCTTTGTCAAGAAACTGGTGTTTTAGCCTATGATCTTTCTAAAGGACTCTTGGGTCTCTCTCTCTCCCCTTCCACTGCACCCTCCTGCAGGATTGTTTACGAGCCTGCCAAGAACAGATCGAGTCCCTCCTGGAGTCCAGTCTACGCCAGGCACAGCAGCACAACGTATCTTCAGAAACAAAGACTGTAGAGGACGAAGCAGACCTCTCCTGCACACCCACTGATGTGCGAGACGTGAACATTTAAAAGAGGACTTCTTCTTAAATGGATTTGCTTGGCAAGAAAAGCAAAGAAAGGGCATCTGAGAAGGAATCAGCATCAGGATCTCCCCCCCAGAAACCCTTTTCTCCAGGACATTTTTATACCAGAAGGGAAAACCAGTCTCATTATATTTTTTCTTGCTCTGTCTCCCTTCCATCTGTGACTTCAAACAAACAAATAAACAAAAAATACCCCAAAAACTGTCTTAAAAAAAAGAAAAAAATAGTATTTGCATTGCCCCCAGGGGTTTGTGCTACAAAAATAGAGGATTTTATACAATAATAATCAACTAGTTTTTATATTAAAGTGTTCTTGTCTGTATGTTGTAAAAATAGGCATTAACACACGAAATGTCTCCAGGGGAGGTATTAGATTTGATTTCTTACATATAAAACAAACCAACCAACCATTTTTAAAGTAGAAGAGGTTTTTTTTTTTTTTTAGATAGTAAATGAAATATTCTTTTTCTTTAAAAAGCATAGCTTTAACGCAGTTCTAGGCATTTCTGTATCTTGCTTGCTTATGCATTTAGTCACTTTATAATTCATCTGTAAATGTTTATTTTATTTCCTTAGGGTTTTTTTTTTTATCCTCTTCACCTTATAAATGGTTAACGTAACCCATAAGTTAGTGTATGTTAGTATGCAGCATTATTATATGTTAATCTTTTTTTTTTTTTTTTGTTCCTGTGGATTGCCTGTGCATTGAGGCATTTGTAGGGTTCCAGCTTAGCATGGTTGGGAAAGGCCAATGTACTACTCATACAGGACCCTATTATAAAGAGAAACCGAAATAGTGACATAATATATTATATTTTTGTAATCTTCCTATTTTTGTAGTTACCTGTGTAAAAATGCTGGTCTGACCCCGCAGATATTCAGCCTAATTATGGTCAGGTTCAATCCACAGTTCAGTCTTTTTTTTTTTTTTTTTGTTCGTTTGTAATATTCTAAAACCATTCCATTCAAAGCACTTTCAGTCCATTAGATATAGGAAATACATTCTTTTATTGTGTGGGAATTTTTTTTTGTTTGTTTGTTTGTTTTTTTAATGGAATGGTTTGGAAATATATAAAGTGCTTGTTGGCAAACTTGGAATTGCAAAGCAAGTGCATTTAACTATGGTGTTAGAGGAGAGGTGATTCTTTTTTCCGAAGGTTGTGTTCCAGTGAGAGAAAATTGCATTCACAAATTGCCAGGATATCTTCCTTTCCTTTTCTATAGAAAAGTTTGAAGTTTAGAATCCTTTGGTGCCAACTCATCTTTATAAATTAGGGGCCTTAAAGGTTCACATATAGGACACATAGTTTTAAGGATTATCGCTAGATGTTTTTACAACTGAAGGTTTTTAAACACTAAAATATATAATTTATAGTTAAGGCTAAAAAGAATATTTATTGCAGAGGATGTTCGTAAGGCCAGTATGATTTGTAAATTAATGCAATCGCCCCTTTTGAAAAAGAAAATCTTTCTACCCTTGATGTTGCAGTTTTAACCCAGCTTATTAAAGCAAAAAAAGGACACGCTTCAAAGAACAAACCCAAAACCAAGCAGTCTATTTGGCCCCTTCCTATACATTTTCAAAAGCAGTCTAACCATGAAAAAACGCCATAGTTAATAGATATGAAAATTGGAGTACTTGAAAGAAGTTTTTATTCCAGTATATGCCCCCCTTTTTTTTTTTTTTATTTAGCTACAAATAGAAAATTTGCACATCTTGGCTATGTATCTTTTTATTATTATTTTAGAAAGTAGCTGAAGGGACGTGGACATAGCTGTTGAAGTTGATGCTCGAGGAGAATGTGATGGTGAAATGTATGTGAGAAAACTGCCGCTGAGGTGTTGATTGTAAAAAAAAAAAAAAAAACCAACAACAACAAAAAAAGAACAAAAAAAGGAAAAAAGATAAAAAATTCAAAAGATAAAAAAAAAAGAAAGAAAAAGACAAAAGAAAAGGAGTGGATGCTCCGTTTTTATTGAGCTGCTATGGATAAATTCCCAGCATGGTTTGAAAAAAAATTAACATTGCTTTTCTGTATCTTTGTCATTGTGTTTTGCTGCTATTTTGTGGATCAGTTTTTTTTTTTTATGTTATACAATGTCATATACTGCCATGTAATAGGTTTTAATTTTCTCATAGAAAATTATATTATTGACATCATTTTTTTTGTAGATTTTTTATGTGATCAATTTTTACTTAATGTGATTACTGCTCTATTCCAAAAAAGGCGCCTGTTTCACAATACCTCATACTTCAGTTACCCGTGTCTAGACCAGGTTTTGATGTTCTTACAGTGCCTCATATTTCTACTGCAAACGGAAATGCATCGAACGTTGCTCTGAATGGGTCTCTGCATTAATTTAAAAACCAGCAGACATTTCAGAAGATCAAGTAATGTCAAGGGTTGGTTGTTTTTTTTTTTTTGTTTGTTTTGTTTTGTTTTGGGTT